CAGCCCTTGGGTATTTGGGGAATGGCTTGCAAGCCACACTTATGGCACAAAACAGCATACAATCTTCCAAGTTTTCCAAAACTAATTATTAGTCTAGATGCTAAAAAAAACCCCTTATTTTGATTTTTATCCCACCCCTCCCCCAGCAATTGGGGCGGTTAACGACATAACTAAAAACAAAAAGATTATATAAAACAGTTTAACACACTGGCACAGGGCATGAGTCTCTTCAGAGAGAGCATTCCATCAGGCTGGGGCCATGACTGAAAAAGTCCTTGCTCTGGTCAAGTTTAAAGAGCAACTCAAGGGCCAGGCACCACTAGAAGTCTATGTAAAGTAGAACACAAAGCACCGGGGGAGGGGGGGGTTGGGTTGTAACAGGGGAGATAGTCCTAAAGGTATGATGATCTCAGACTGTTTAGGGCTTTAAAGGTTAAAACCAGCACTTTGAACTGGATCCGAAAATCAACTGGAAGCCAGTACAGCTGCTTCAAAATAGGCTGAATATGCACAGACCATGAATGATTGGTCAACAGTCTAGCAGCCACATTCTATATAACCTGAGGTTTCCAAAGCATCTTCAGGGGCAGCCCTGCGTAGAGCGAATTGCAATAGTCCAGTCTAGAGGTGACTGACTTGGAAAAATAGGGGGGCAGTGGATGAGCCTGGTGGAGATAGAAAAATGCCAATTTTGCCACCAAGGACGCTTGTTTGTCCAAGGTAAGCAACGTGTCCAGCCAGACCCCAAATTCCTTATGGAGTCTACCAGTGTAAGCTTGCTTTTAAGTAAATTTGCATCAAATTGAGGATTAAGCAATGCAACTTGCTGATATGTGGGGATTTTAAAAACATATGAAGCTCATAACACTACTGGCCACCTAAGCGCTCCACAGGCTCTGTATGATTGCAGGGAAGGACAGGCCTGCCATCTCTCCAGAAACAGCTTGCTTGATCCTGCTGGAAGCTGCAGAAGCCCATTCTGCTTCATGCTGTGGAGAAGGCAAGGCAGAGACAGAAGTAAGGGGTGCTCAAGGTACTCATTTCAGGAGCCTTCTCAGGTCAGGCCATGAGCGTTCCAAACAAAGGTTCCAAGACAGCCTGATTGGTTGGTTCAGAACAGGTCCTCTAAGGGGGAAGTATTTGGGAACCCTCTACTTGCCACACTGTCATCTTGTTCTCTCCCCTGCATGACACTTATAGCTCAGGGTGAGATGAACAAAAGTACTCTACCCCATGCCAGGGAGAGACACAAAACAGCAAGGGAAGGAATGGGTGCTCAGGGATTTTCATCAGCAGAGGGAACCTCCCTTGTCAGCTGAAAATGCCTCCTGAAATGCTAGTCTTGTGGGACTAAGGATCCCCCCGGGAACAGCATAAGAGGGGAAATGGCAGAGATTTCTTCCACCGGTTTGTGGAAATGTTTTGAAGGCTCTAACCAAAGAAATCTGCACATGGGACATGAACCCTAATAGTAACATATGTAAGTACTACTTCTAGTATTTCAGGTGCTCAACCCCTGCTTGGAATGCATGTCAGACTACCCCTTTGCCCAGCCTGAGAAAAGAAACCTTCTATAAATCACTAATGGAAACAAGTGAAAAAGCAGTTACAGTAGTCTCAGTTTAAACAAGGACTTACCACCAGAAACAGGAGCATCCATAAAAACAGCTCCCATTTTTTCAGCTTCTTTGGCTAGCTCTTTTGAAACTGCAGGATCAATAGTACTGGAGTCGATTAACAAAGATCCTTTCTTCACTTTCCTGAAAAGAATTAAAAAAACAACAATATTGAGATTTTACAGCTATGACAAATACTGACAATGAAAATTAACACCATAGATGCAACGAACATGAAATTGAGCAAACTTCAGAGGACGGCGGAAGACAGGAAAGCCTGGCGGGATCTGGTCCATGGGGTCGCGAAGCGTCGGACTCGACTGTGCGACTGAACAACAACAACCTGACAATAAAGGCAACACTGTGGGAGGGGTCGTGGCTCAGTGGAAGGGCCTCTGCTTTGCATGAAGAAGGTCCCATGTTCAATCCCCAGCATCTCTGGTTAAAATGATCAGGTACTACGCAATATGAAAGACCTCTACTGGAGACCCTGGCGAGCTGCTGCCAGTCTGAGTAGACAATACTGACCTTAAAAGACTGTTGGTCTCATTCAGTATAAGGTAGCTTCATGTTCACTGCTTGGACACAGGCACTACCACAATAAACTTAAAGATTTGGAGGTAACTCAAATTTTTCTAGTCCTACTAAATTAGTTCTTTGCTACTGATATATGCTATTTCATTAATTCCTCACCACCTGTCATTCTCATCAGAAAAAGAGTTTATACATAAACGGGGGGAAATCTAGACATTGCCTGCCTTTTATTAACATAGTTTAGCAAGAATAAAAGCAATGGGTCAAAAGACCATGACTGACTGTGTCAAACACTGCTGTAAGATCGAGAAGTAACTGCAGCGCTGACCCACCTTGATCCAACTGCCTACAAAGATCATCTGTGAGGGTGACCAGCAGTGTTCCCTTCAAGCTGAGCTAGTGTGAGCTAGCTCACAGTATTTTCGCCTCTGGGTCACACATTTTTGTCTTAGCTCAGGAAGGATGGCTCCAGAGCAAACTAATTGATGCAGTAGCCAAATCGCTCACTCACAACTTTAATGCCAGTAGCTCACAAAGTAGAATTTTTGCTCACAAGACTCCGCAGCTTAGAGGGAGCATTGGTGACCACTGCTGTCTCCATCCCATGAACGGGGCGGAAACTGGACTAGAATGGGTCCAGTGCCAATGTGTCATCCACAAAATTCTGGAGCTGTTCTGCCACCACTTTCTCAATTACCTAACCCAGAAATGAAAGGTTCAAGACTGGGTGATAATTGGATGGATCTGACAGATCCAAGGTTGGTTTAAGAGCAGTACAACCACAGCCTCTTTTAACTCCTCCAGATAGACCCCCGAATCCAGGGACAGAGGGACCCATATTCCCTTGCTGACAGCCATCAGCCACAAGGGGGGGGGGGCTGGGACACCCAGCTGGGCCTTCAAGACAAAATGTTCTATGGCAATTCCTCCTTACCAATCAGATCCGTATCAGTCCTTGAAGATCAAATCCAGTGTGCGACCTGCTTGATAAGTGGGATCCGATAAAATCTGGGAGAGTCCCAATGCTGCCATGGAAGACACTAGGTCTGAGGCCTGCAAGGAGGCTGCAGAATTGGCATGGACACTGACGTCCCCAAGGACAATCAGTTTTGGGAACTCCAAAACCCAGCCTGCTATAATCTCCAGCAGGCTATCCACTGGAGCACCAGGTAGACAGTACCCCAGACAGGCAACCAAACTCTCCTCAGTATCCCAAATGAGGCCAACACAATACCAGTGATCTTTGGTTGAAAAGTGCCCTGAAGAGAGAACCCTCTTGGACGAGTATTGCAACCCCTGCCCCTCAGTTCGGGACTGGTGGAGGACCGAATAATCTGGTGGGGTCAGTTCTCTTAAGGCAACTGTTTCGCCCTCCTGTGTCCAGGTCTCAGTCACACATGCCACACATACATTGTGCTGCAATATAACTATGCAGCATTGCAGTCTTATTATTTATGGACCTGGCAATTCACAACATCAGTGCCGAAGGGGGTATACTTCCCTAGCCCTCTCACTGACATGTTTCAAATACCCATGTACTTGAACAGAGTAAAAAAAATAAAATAAAACACTGGAGCTAAAGTATTATTCGTGCCAGAATAAAGTATGCAACATTTCTATGTTATGCTGAAATGCATGAGGTAAGAACTGTTACCATTCCCCAATCAGTAAGAACATGATCTTTCTATAGTTTTTCACTTCAATTATATTATTTTTAATTGCATTGGTATGCACTATGAGCTTCTTTGAACAAATACTAAGATTAACATTTAACAAAAAAAACTAACATTAATAGAGTAAATAAAGAGCCTGGTGCTCTACAGAATTGCCAGAGTAGCAGAAGACTGCATTCTTATGCAAATAAGGCTTCATGCACAAGCTTGCATCACGTGGCCTCGCACGTGCATTGCTACCTGTACTGCTGGATTCATTGTGCTATCACAGGTGAAACAAGATTGCTCTTTGCACATACAGATGGCATCAGCTGAACTGAAGCAAGCCCTTTTCCAAAATATTTATTAAACTAAGACAATGAATGCAAGTGACACTTCAAGCTAAATGAAACCTAAAACATCTGTGCCTCGGTATTAAAAGCAACAAAAAAAGTAGTTAATGGAAGAAGTTCTTACTTCAAAATTCCACTGTTTCCTGTGTAAACCTCTATTGCATTAGGATTAGATGGAAGCATTGTAATAATCCTGTCAGCTCTTTCTGCCACATCTGCTGGGGAATCAGTCACCTTTTAAGGAAAACAAAATAGAGACAGTAATCATTTTCTTACCAGAGATCATCCTTTTCACTAGTGTTTGAGATTCTCAGCAAGCTCCTAGAGTGGCACAAACTGTGCAATGCAGAATAACTACAAAAACCAACAAAAGCATAACAAAGGGGTGAAATCCTGCAGCATGCTGCTGCTACTATGAATGTTAGTCACACAAGAGACATTATAGAAACATAACAATAGAAAAGCAGAAGAGAAGACGCCTGTCCACAACAGTGAATGCAGGTACAATCTGTGCACACTGCACACTTGATTCTTTGTATGTGTATTGAGCAATTCTTATATTATAGTCAATGTATGTACAGTTGAACGTGTGATACAAATCCCACATTTATCCTGATACTGATCCTCAGTTTCATTTGTAAACTGAATGTGCATTGATTCTTTCTTACTAACAGATATATGCATGGTAGATTCAGGTGGGTAGCTGTGTTGGTCTGAAGTAGAGGTGTTCTCCAAGCAGCGGAATCGCGTGGCTTGGAGAAGACATTTAAAGGGACCACGATCCCTTTAAATGCCTTTCCCTCTCCACTGGTTTCAATGGAGGACGGGACACCTTCTTTCGGGGCCCATAGAACTGGACCCCCTGGTCTAATCTTTTTTAAAATTGGGGGGATTTTTGAGGAGAGGCACCAGCAGCTATCCTACAAATTTGGTGCCTCTACCTCAAAAACACCCCCCCCCGAGCACCAGATACCACTGGATTGATTCTCCATCATACCCTATGGGAAACATGGTCCCTATATAATGGAGCAAAAAAAAATATCTGGGTTTCCCAAATATTTCCTGAATCCAAATACCACACCAGTATCAGGATTCCGGAATATCAGGAAATACAGATATCTTTTGGGTCCAATATACCTGAACCCGAAAATACTGGGTTTTTTTTGGCACACCAGTAGTCTGAATCAATAGAACAAAGTCTGAGTCCAGTGGCACCTTTAAAACCAACAATGTTTAATTCTGGGTATAAGTTTTCGAGTTCTCACATCTGTTAACTCTTGTATTTGATTGTTAATTTACTGCAACTCTCAGGTCTTAACAACTGCTTTAATCCAATCACAGCTATACTTATTACCCAGTTACACATGCATCTTGACTCTAACTGGCCCTTCTTGGCAACCAACCCCCCCACCTATATGTAAGGGCTGAGGAAGTCTGTTTCAATGTATCCAATGAAGTGTGCATGCACACAAAAGCTTATACCCAGAATTAAACTTTGTTGATCTTAGAGGTGCCACTGGACTCAAACTTTGTTAGATATATGCATGTACAGACATGATATGTGAATTTACTGCGACATGTGAACAGGACTAATATCACCCATGAGCAACTGATTCAAGAGGATAGGAAAGAAACTTTTAATTTACCGAAGTTGTGTATCCTCACTGTTACCTATTAGCCTGTTAACCAAGCGATCCATTATCTTATATAGCGATAGAGCTTTATGATATTCCAGTTATTTACTATTTCTGTGCATTTTCCAAGAACAACATTGATTTACCATCAGTTGTGTTATTTTAAAAATACTCAGAAACAGAGCAGACAGAAAGGAACTTACATCTCTGAGCCACACTATGCATGCTGTGGAATAAATCTTTGGGTTAAACTTAGGTCTGTCCCAATCACCTATTAAGCATGTTTGAAAAGAAGATGCTTACTATACCTGTGCACCCACATCTTGAAATTCTTTACAAGCTTCTGGAAATACATCATATGCAATAACAGGATAGCCATTTTTGATAAGGTTTTTTGCCATTGGATTACCCATGTTGCCCAAACCAATGAATCCAACAGGGGTCTTGGAAGCCATTGCCCTAGAAGACACTAATTGCAATAAAAAAGTTTCAATCTAAGAATACTTTGCTACATATACATATATATATAATAAAAATATTTCATTTTTACTTATCAGATTTAAGAAATAAACTGTTAATGTACATCCTTAAAGTTTCATTTCATCTCAAGTTTAATTCCAGTCCTGCCAATCTTTTTGTCTTTTAAGTCCTTTTAAACACAGTTTATAATCATGCCAAACCTAAAATTGCAACGTATGATCTTCACTCCAAAAATGCAAGGAAAGCATCTATAAAGTTAAATATATAAAGATTTTTTTTTAAAACACTAAACACCAATTCTAGTAGTGTTCATGGTCATCTTATGAATGCTTATTAGAAATTCAGTTCCGACTTCCGGTCTGTGGCTCGGCGATGGCGGACGCTCTCCCCGATCGCTGGGGAGGCAATCCACACTCCAGTGGGGTAGGAGGGGTGCCACCTCAAGTGGCACTCCCAGGTGAGCCTTAGGTAAAGGCTTTCGAGCCGGGGGCGCGGGAGGGGCGACCTCTTCAACGGCGTAATGCCGGAGAATTGAGGCGCTCCTTTGCCCCATTCGGTCCTCCCCCTGCGAGGTTCGGTTTTTACCGAGCTTAGCCGATGCCGACCGGGACAAGCTGCGAGGGTTATCGATTTATTGGAGCTATAAGGAGTCTGGATGCAGACGGGTGATGAGTCGGAGAAAGAGCCAAGCGAAAACCTTTTTTAAAAAGTGAGTTCTCCCCCCCACCCTTCGGAAAGCGGCGTCTGGGAAGGCTCCCGGACGTAAACAAACAGAAATATCTTAACAAAACAGGGGGAGGGGGAGAGAAGAGAATCGCGGAAGTGTGCAAGAGACTTAGCTGTGTTTGCAGAAAAACTTAAGCGATTCTTTGAAGAAGAGTGAAGTTGGTCTTCTAAAGTAAACAAAGTAGAAAAATGGCCGGCGTACGAGGAAAAGCAGGCAGACAAATTGGGAGGGGCGGTCAGAGCCGAGAGGCGAGGAGGCAGGAGATCTGCTCTCTATGCTAACGGATCTGCTCAAGCCTATTAACGAAAGACTCGATGGTATTAACCAGCAAATGGCCGCATCCAACCAAAGCCTGGCAAAGCAGCAACAGCAAATTGCCGAGCTGGTTAAAAAGTCGATCCAAACAGACGATAAGCTTAAAGAGACAACACATGACACCAAAAAAGTTAAAAATAAATTTGGTCTGTTAGAGCAAAGACAAGATTCGCAAGAACGTAGACTTTTGAACCTGCAGATGGAAAAAGCAAACAAGACACTCAGATTCCAGGGGATAGCTGAAGCACAAGGAGAAAACTTGAAAAAGATGATGGCAGAGCTTATCGCACCGGCGATAGGTTGCACAACGGCAGAAGCGGAAGTTGAATTCGAGGTGATCTATCGATCATACTCTAAATATATAAAACGAAATAACCTGCCGGGTGAAGTCGTTGTCAAGTTTCTCAGAAGACAGATGAGATATGATATTCTCAGAGCAACATCAGCTAACCCCCTGCAGCTGGGAGCTACAACTATCAAAGTTTTAAAAGATGTGCCATTTGAGGTTCGTGAAAAAAGAAAAGCCTACAAAGAATTGATTTCTACACTACAGATCAACCAAATTCCGTATTCCTGGAATTTCCCTGAAGGTGTCGTGTTCAAATATAGAGACAAAAGGGAAAAAATTGACTCGGTGTTTAAAGCAGAAGAATGGTTGAAGTGGTTTTTCGGATCGAAAGAAGAGGAACAGCAAGAAAGTGGAGGTGCAGCAGCAGTCATCACGGAAGATAAGGGCGACGACCAAGGAGCAACCGGTGACGAGGCCAAAGAGACATATGATTTGCGGCTTAGAAGACCAAAATAACTCTTTGAAGATTTGGAGCTTGCAAACAGTGATGGAGATGAAAGAACTCTTTGCACACGCAGAAGATGATGGAGAAGATACTAATATGGACTTACTAATTTCCGACTACCTTGACTTAAACGAAAAGCTTTTTATTTTGGAATACTAACAGAATACTAACCATTTACAACCCTCTCTCTTGGGATTTTAGTCATAGTGTGGGTTTTTATTTTCTGTCCTTTATCCTGGGGTAACTTTCCCCTTCCCTTTTTTCTTTTTCTGTAGTGTTTAGGTGTAACAAAAAACAAAAAAGCTACCCTGTTCGCAGGGGATTAAAAAAAAGAAAAAAAAGAAATTCAGTTCCAGCATATTCAATGGGAATTATTCGCTATTATGTTTAGGATTGTAGCGCACCAATACTGCCCTATGCCAAGTTATATGGACTTAGAAGGGTATAACTGTGCTTACGATTGTGCTGCAAGTCTGCTATTCACTTGCAAAACAGGTTTGAGACAGATAACAGTAAACGTTTTCTCCATTTTCCCATCACTACACCTAAGAGTAAACTGGCACCCCCTGTTTTGATCACACAACCCATAGACAGCTGGGGTCTCAACATACTGGAGAGTCCCCAGGTTTGCAGAAAGATTTTGTTAGTTAATCAAAATAAAAGAGCTTGGCCCTGACCTAGATAACCCAGGCAAGCCCAGTCTCAGAAGCTAAGCAGGGCCGACCCAGGCAAGTATTTGGCTGGGAGACTTCCAAAGGATACCAGGGCTAGGAAGCAGAGGCAGGCTATCAAGCCACCGCTCTGAACACCTTCCATGCCCCAGTAGAAGTCATCAGAAGCCGCCATGACTTCCAGGCATGGGTAAACACACACATGCAGAGAGAGATATATATTAAAGAACCCTAGAGGGGAAGATAGATGCAATTCCAAATTGCAATCCATACATTACTTTTTATTGTTTGTCATTCTACCACAATTTCTTGCAGGTTACTAAGCTTGCATAATATACGAACAAACTAGTGCTGTTGTACATGAAGGCTACTGGAATCCAGTGACTACTGCACAGAATCCAGTAGACTTCTGGCCCATCTACACAAGCATGCATCAGCAAGAGACAGCATACCTATGGCAGAAATAAATACCCATCTTACGAAGAGCCAGAAAGCTGTTCCCCTTTCCTAAGCTAAGCAGCCCTTACCACTCTTTTACAATAAGAAATTATCATCAAGCGCAATGCACAAAGGAGTTTTTAAATTCTTTCCCAAAAATATATTGATAGATTCACACTAAGAGTATTCAAGTTTACACAGCATGAAACTACTTATTTCATGGTAGAATGTTGGAAGTTGCACAGATCAGCATACAAAAAGCAGCTGTTTCATGGTGAAATAAACTATTTTTATCATAAAAAAGTAATTTAACAGAAATAACAGTTACAATAAACTCTATTATGTATCATTCTGCCTAGGCCTGGTTGGTAAACATTGTACAAATGTTTTAAGGTTTAAAAAACAATTATAAAAGAGGTTCTGCTATTTGTTTTGGATTTGCCATCCCACCATTTCACTTAATTGCTCATCGTTCTTAAGTTACAAAGCAAGGAGATTGAGTCTTGCGTTGTCAAGAACCGTTGTTCAGATTCCATGCATAGTTATCTCTTTCCTTTTCCTGTCTACCAATTCAGCCAGTTAGCATCAGCTATAACTCAGTATACAGACAGCTGTTCACCAGAAGCCAAAATGAATGCAAACTACTATCATATGGCAATATTGCCTTTATAGCCTAAGGATTCAGTTTTAAAAGGCATAATGGAAATTTAAACACCGGAGTTATTTAATCCCTCCACCCAGCAGTCTACAAGTTATTCCCCGGCATCAGTAGAACACTCATGTAAATTAGAATGATGACAGACACTTGAATGACAAGAGAAGCTGTCAACTACATATGAAAACTATAATATGACAATATGGACTCGCACTAGGAATGTAATTCAGAGGAAACTGTACTCAAGCGCCACTGAAATTCAAGTGATACTCAGCTCTCTCAAGATTGTATCTTATAATCATAATTTAGATCAGGTGACCCCAATGTTTTTGAGCTTGTGGGCACCTTTGGAATTCTGTTACAGGGTACTGCGTGCAGCCAACCACAAAATGTCACAAAGGGAGGTTATGCATCACTCTGTGAGTAATACTTCCAACATTTCAGGCAAAAGCTCTGCTCAGCCAGATGCCCTTTAAAATGAACATGTTGCTTAAAAATATTTTCTTGCATATACACAGCTTACCTTTGCCACCTTTGCTGCAAAAGGCAAGTTAATAAAAAACCTGCCCAGCCAATCAAACTTGATCGGCCAATCAGAAGCCCCGCTGAGCAGAAGCCCTAGTTGGCACTGTCCACTTTCTAAAAACACTTGGCAGGGACCAGAAAAGGTGCTGGCAAGCACTATGGAGCCCATGGGTGCCACACTAGGGACCCCTGATTTAGACACTGGTAGCACTGCATGCATTAATGAACAAATATTAGGCAACAGTATGATCTGAAACAGAACAGTGAAAAAGATTTTCCTTTTATAAATATAATCCTAGATTCAGGGCCCAAAACAACCATCTGTTTTTGTTTCACTGCTGGTTGTAAGAAACACTTTTTAAAAATGGCAGTAGAATCATCCAGGGCATATGATTAAAGATCAAATTTGTAATTTACCAACAACAAAAACTCAGAGTTTATTTAATGAAAAATAGCATTTATTAAGCATCTGGAAGCAATCAGACATTGTATGCAAAACATCCTCCTTGGCTCAGATGCACTTAGAGACCATCTGATGATTATAAGTTTCTTCTTAGTCACAAGATGGACGTAACCATTATTCACACAATAATATAGTTGGTGCCATGATCAATAAACCAACACCTTGCACTGGGCCACCAGTTCAACAGTCTTAACTTCAATGATTAAGAAACTTCATAAAATGCAGTTAGAAAGTTTGCCATAAGAGACCGAGCGAGAAATTTGATTGTATATCAGAACTGAAATTCATATGGGCTGTGTTACTCTCACACAATTCTTCCTGCTATAACTGTAGCTAAATAAGAACTGGGTAGAAGAAAATACCTTATTAACTTGCAAAATAACAGACAGTCTTGTGGCATC